GTTCAGAGAATGAAGACATCTCAACAGAAGTAGTTTAAAGAAATTTGACAAAATATCACAAAAAATATTAAATACGCAAAGCGAAGTTTTCCATAACTAAAGCATAAAGAATTAAAAATTCAAATAAAACCGAAATTATCTTTTTTTACTTTGTATTTCGTTATATTTCTTTAGAGAAAACTGTGGCATTGGAAAAGGAATAATGGTTCCAACAACAGCTGGATGTACATCCTAAAACCACTCATCTGTCTCAATATTCAAACGCCGCTCACAACTCTTACAAAGGGTTCAAACAACAACAACAAGGTGCAATGACAAATTTTAATTGGAGGTCAATGTATCATCTCATTTCTTTATTTCATCAATTCCAAGAGGAAGGTTTGTTTACACAACAACCAACCATTATTATTAACGATAGATCAAAGCATTAAGATTTTAGAACTTATATCTTAATTTAGTCTTGTTAATATAATCTCGAGAAAAAAGACTAATATCTTAAGTAAATACAAATATTTGTTATTAAAAATAGTCTTAAACTAACACTTATGTAGGAACTCTTTTAGGTTTAAAGTTTAAGATTGCTTTGGAGTTTCGTCATACCACATTTTTATGATGACTGGATCCAATCCAGGCAATGTTAAAGGCTTTACCTTTGTTATCAGTACTTTAGCTATATCTCTTTTTAATTGAGTGTAGAGCTGATATTTGGTACGTGAATCTATTGACAAACGAACGGCCGGGTTTACGTCATAGAGCCTTTCATTGATTTCGACGACGAAGTGCCGTTCGCCACACACAAAGGAACTATACAAATAGAACTGCATTTTAGATCCCTGCGGGTTACATTAATAACGAAAGGTCATTTTTTAAATAAACAATTTTTATTTGTAAACAAAATCATATAAAAATTATTTTAATATGTAGAAAGTTATTAATCTGACATGCAACATTTAACAAATATTATAGTTGTAGTTATTAATTTGACATGCAACATTTAACAAATGCCACATAAGCATTTTGAAGTCGTACATCTGTAAAAAGTGTTTTTCAGTTGAAAGGATCAAACTTCTGAGTAGTAGGAATCATACTAATTAATGCCAGATGTACAATTTCATAGTATGAAAAACAACCCCAAAGCGTTGGACTACCAGTTCATCCAACAATTACTTTAATAGACTAGTCGGTGTGACATTTCTTTAATTTTTCTTTCTCACACTCTAATTTCATTCAAACGTATTGAATTTAAACTCACATTCTAGGGTATACTTATTTCCAATCATTTAAAGTCCAATTACAATGTTGTTTTGCCACCTCCATAACTTATTGACTCATATTTGTAATTAAAAGTGACTTCCTGGGAGAACGACGATTGATTAAGTCGACCACGGCAATCTGTGTCGGACAGTTCTCATACCGACTCAATTTTTACTGTTTAAAATAATTTGTGCAGTTTTTTAAGGGTGTAAGAACGATCATTTTTATAGCTGATCCTCTTCCCTTTTCTTCTCTTTGAATTAACTATTTATTTTGGATGCCCACAACAAAATCACTAACAGATGATTTGCCGGATTTTTTACCCCATAAAGCAAAAATATATGCCCTTGTCATACTAAGTTATTTACTAATAATTGGCATCCTTTTTGCACCTGGTCTTATTTTTTATATGCTTGGACACAACAAATAAACAATGAATGATGCAATAATGTATTAAATACCATTTTTAATAGTATTATGGTATTTAATGTATTAATACCATTTTTTACCATATTAATAGCTTAATAAACCTTTACCTGCATTTTTACATCGATGTATAACAGATATCAAGAAAAACTTAACAATATATGTAATTTATGTAAGTCATAGTTATAAATACTGATATTATTAAATACTGAAAATAAGACAAAAAATTTGTAATTAAATTGTAGTATGAAAATAATATAATTTTTTTAAAGCAATTGAAAAGTTAACTATTTTCATAACAAAAAAACACAAAGCAAAAAAAATACGGGCAATATGTACTGTTATTGAACGAATATGTTTACTTTATTTAAATTTGGAAAGGAATTAAAATTAATTTTTAAAGAAATGCAATAAAATTTATTTGCAATGAACATTTCTAAATTAACTTATAATTATATTTTTCATGTTATATAAAAAATTTTTTTATGATTAATTTTAAAAAAAATTTGCAAATATCGAAGTTTTATTTTATCAACAAGAATTCTCTATTTTTGGGAAATTGAAACTTGGAAAATTGTATTCAAAACTAATGCTAATATATAAATGGACCAGTATTACTAATATAAAAAAAAAATTCAACATTTTATGTCATATGGAGACACATGGCATAAAATTGCACGCTAATAAGATTTTTTGCTGATAAAAATCTGTAATTAAAAGTTTTATAACAGATTAAGCGAAAGAAACGTATCAGATTATTTCATCAGCAAAAACTAAAGCACAAAAGAAAAAACACATCTCCCAAGTAAATGTTTTTACATCATTATATTCTTAACCTTAGGAATTATCTAATACAGTATTTTACTTATGAGTGCTATATAATTTCCATTTTATAAAACTTTTGAAAGTTATAGGTATATTAATTTATAAATGACACTGACCTTTTATATAATGATTACAATATGGTATGTTTATTTAAAAGAATATGATCCTTTTTAACAATTGTCAATGCTTTTGTTTAGTATTAAAGAGCATCTCAATATTTTCAATCACTTGTAATAGATCAAAACCAATTTAAACCGAATAACAAAACACACACTACGCACCCATTTGCAAATAAAAACTAACTAAAATCACTTAAAATCGATTTTGTACCAAAACATAAAACAGGGTTGCTGTATAGCAAAATAAAACTTTTATAAAAAGTGTACTACTGTGTAATCTTAACATAATAATGCACCATGTACATATTTTCTTTAATATATCGTACACAAATATCGTATTTGATGTTTGTAAAGTATTTTGTAAGATTTTATTTATTTTTATTATTTATATATCGCACAATTGACATAATATACTGTTTTAAAATGTTATTAACCATCGTTTGTGTAATAAACTCAAGAATTTTATTTATTAGTTAACGCCTGATGTCGTAACTACTTTTACTTTAACATAAAAATATGCAATTCTAAAACCTATTATTCAAGAGTATCGTCTATCCAGATTGATATTCTTAATAGAATAAGTATATATGAGATACCCGGAAAATTGCATGCCTTTATTAACTATTAATTATGCACATTATATGCAGTATGTTTACATTATCGCAATTAACTCACCAAATACGCAGTTTAAACTTACATTTTTTTATATAAAATCCATACTAAAAGGGAAGATAATAATATCTAAACATATTATGGTATCTGAAACTTGTATTATATAAATTGTGATAAACGCAATGTAATTATTAACGCATTCGAGTCTTAAAATACACTAGATTTTATAGAATTAAAATATAAGCTTGAATTTAAATTTTGTACTCTACATATAATTGGTTTGGTTTGTATATTAAATAAATTCGTTTGCACTTCGAATGAACCTATTTGGGTGTGAAATGAACTATTATAATAATAATAACCTTTCGATTTTATGGTAAATCGAACTGAAAGCAGAATAGCACATATTTAAAAAACGTAGAGTTTACTCAATCCAAAATTTTAGATTTGCAAAATATAACCATATAACTTGTTATATAGCGAATATAACAGGTTAGATTTGCAGCTTATATGATGCAGATTTGTAAGTTGTAATATACTAAATTTTTCCAAAGATTGATTCAAATGAAATTTTAGATGTCGATTGATATTTTCTAAACTATACTAATGAAAAACATAAATACAATTAGGTTAGATTAAGTTAGGTTATACCGACGAACCCACTTATGCCTATTTGACCATTGTGTTGCCGTATATAGAAGAAACACAGGGTTTGAAACGACTTAGAACCTTTGGCGAAGTTTAGAATGCTATTTACTGTTAGATGTTGTATTGATTAAAATCCTCAAGAAAGGGGATTCCTAAAGATGGGAAGATTCAACGATATGCAGTCATCTATATGCAATTTGGCTACTTTCCCTAAAAGGAAATCCAATATTCTCATTATGATACACCATGAAGATATTACTCATAAATACAAATAACAGTCAATAAATCTTCTGTTAGATTACTTTATATCTAGTAGTCATCAAAAAAAAAAACCTTCACTGATCATCACGCTAATCATGTACTTTTTAGTTATAGTTTTACTTTTAAGTTACTAATAATTCCAAATAATATGTTATTATTGCCGTTTCAATTTTGATCTGCCTCATAGCTATTACACGGATTGGTGAAACCAATTATATATGGGAACAACAAAAACTATAATAATTAAGTTTAAAATTAATATTTTAAAGTAACAATAGTTATTGATTTTAAAACATGAAGTATAGTTTTTATTTCTTTGAACACTTTTTACTTATACTAAGACATGCTATCAAACCACATTCATTTACTTAAAATAAATTTCACAAAAATCCATAAAAACCAAACATTTCATTAAATTAATTATTATAATATAAGTAAGAAATTTTGCAGAAATAACTTAAAATAAGTGATGTGCATAGATTGATGTATAATAATAAATAATCTCATTCAAAAGTCTATAGTTACAACTAAAGGAAAAATATCTTTGGTTTATAAAAAAAAGCTACCATTTAAAAGTTTGTTTAAAACAAACACAAACTAAATTCATCTTATATTTAAAATAAAAAATAAAATCTTTTTATATATATATATAAATATTTGTTTTTTTCTTTTTTGTTGTATAGAATATAATAATTTTAAAATGTAATATCTTTGCTTTATATAATTGCACATATAATTTCAATTTGATAAAAAAAATAAATACATTTAAATTTATAAATGGAATTAAAAAATAAAATTCATAATTTCTTTGAACTTTGGTAAAATTACTGGAAATTGTTCACACAATTAATTAAAAATAAATCTTCATATAGTTAAAAATTGGTAAGAATTAAGGGCAAGATGAAATTGCTTAATAAATTATAGAGAACAACGATTATGAATAATTAAGATTACATTAAAATTCGTTACTAATATATATATATTTTTTTAAATTAACATTGTGATGGAATTCCTTGAGTTATTGAATTTTCAAGTATTATGTGGCAATCATCCAAAGGTTCCAAAATTTGTATAAGAAATGTTAATAAATTTTTACGCCTCATAAAGCTTTCCTCCTCATACATTTCTTGTGTTACTTTTGTCATAGCCATTGGTTTTATCATACGTGTTAGTAAGTGGTCTCTATAAGACAAAAATAAAATTATTAAATTTTTATATTAATTAAACAATTTTTCTTACACAAATAAAGGTGCATAATAAAAATAAAAGTTTAATATTAACTGAAAAATTATAAAAAGTAATTAGTTATAAATTAAATTTGATTCTAACGTTAGTAATAACGATAGAGACTATTTTACTTAATAGAAACTATTGTATTTATTAGAGAGATTTCGAAGAGTAGTGAACTGTAGCAACAAAATATTTATTTATTTTTATTAATTAAATTTTTGGCTGAACTTTCAGCTGTTTCGAGTATTGCCAAATATTCACTATCAGTGATCTTGGAATCATTTCTTATATTTAATTATTTGTAAATACTTATTTTTGTAACTGCATTATTTGCAAACAACTACATTAAAGAAATAATTTCAAGACCACTGCTAATGGGTAATTTGGTAATATTCGAAAAAGCTTTACGGTCAGCCAAAAACTCAATTAAAAATAAATGAAATGCTGTTACCATTCACTTTTCTGTTCGAAACCTCTCTAAATTATAAATGTTCCTTTACGCAAACACTAACAAATAATTTCATTTTTAATTGACATTATTTAATTATATATTAATACCTCAAACTTAGACATATAAGCAATTGAAATTTTCCATCCTTTCCAAGTGTACTTCCGGCAGTATTTATTTCATCCATGAGATGTATATAATAGCGCCAAATAGCTGCCAATTCTCTGCGTTGCATGCTATTAATACCATTTTCACTAAAGGATGAGTCCATACTGGAACCGGAATCGTCAATTTGTTGTTGTTGTTCATATTGCAAATATTGTTCAAATTGTTCTTTAATTTTTGCTGTAGTATAAGAAAATGAATTATAATTAAAATCAAATATATTGAACTTTATGTCTTACTGAAATAATCCCAAATATATAAATTTTTACTGAAAAATCTGGTTGAACGATAGCCACATGTGAATACTTGTTCCATACACTTTACCAACCCATTATCACCGCACAATAAATTAGTCAATGTACCAACATCACGAGTACGACTTGGTTTATAATGCCACTTTACTATGACATTCACACAGTTTCCTAACTGATGTTGGATTTCAGATGGTGGTATCATTTCTGGACGCTGTACACTTGGACTACGAGTACGTGGTGGTGTATGATTAGCTTGTACAAGTTCAGAATTTTTAGCATTTGTTGATGCTCGTTGTCCTACAAGTAAACGTTCTGTGGAATCATCATCAACGCCTTTTCCTAACCAACGACCACAAGGAAATCTAAAGATAATATGTATAATGTTACTTACATAGAATACATGTGCCTATAGTTATATAAACATTTTTCATACTTATATGTATGACCAGTTACTTCATTTCGCATAACTATATGTTCCACTAGCCACTTAGATGAAGCTCCTGAATTATCGTGTCCGATACGCATTGTTGTTAAGAGACCTAAATTTTTATACTAAACAGGAAAAATATAATTATACAATTTTATCAAGATATATAATTTTTTATTTTATTACTCACGTGAAATATAAATTCTAAAGAACCTTTAGGGACTGGTACACGTTGTGTTTCATTCATGGTGCCAGACACGATAATCCAAACATTGCTGGAAGTGTGGTACACACCATGCTTACGAGATGGAAATATTACAACGCGATAAGGTAACTCTGTATATAGCAAAAAAAGTTTATTTTTTTCTAAAGTTATTAAGAAATCTACAAAATTTCTACTTACTTGTTGAAGGATACGTATTAGTAAAAGAAAAATAATCCACTGTATTTAACGTTAACAAATGATATAAAAACTGCTCTTTCTCCTCTTCACAACGTAAAAATGCAGATCTCTTGTATAATGAGCGCAATAACGATTCATCAGACAACAATGTTCGAAAATGTCGTGAAAGCAATTTCTTTTCTAGTGACAGACGTACCCAAGCACGAGTATAACCAATATGTGTTTTAATATCAGCCATAGCTAAAACATTTCTGAAAAGAAAGTTATATTTATATAATAAATTGGAAATATATATTTAGTTTTCAGTTTATTGTACGTTATTAAACATACTTAACATCAAATTCTAACGACTCGGGAAGTGGACACAATTGTTCAAGCCCTACAAATTTGTTGCGATCACGCGAACGACTACGGTTTGGACTTGGAGGAGAGTTTTCAATATCAGTTTGGAATGTTGATAAATCTATAAAAGAAAACATGATTAGATTTCTTTATTCCAAATTTCTTTATTTGTCTGCATTAACTTACAATCCATACGTTTACGCATAACATTCCAAGCAAGCGCTTAATATTAAAATAATAAAATATAATTTCGTAATAAAATTAGATGTTTTTTTTTTACTTTAATATTCATTTTTTAATAATAATTATAAAGTAGTATGCTTTTTTATTATTACCTTTATATTTTATTATTTTTTAGAGAATTGTTAGTAATTTTCATTAATTAATTTTTACAAATCTATTATTATATTTTTATTTTTGATTTTTTAAATAAATTTTATACCTGGTGTAGTTGCTGCATAACTTCCAGTACCAATTTTATTACCACTTCCAGATGTTTTTGGTGATGTACTATTTGAGGTAGTAGATGTATTATTTATGCGCGATTCCTGCAATTCTAAATATGATTGCAAATGTGACCACAGAGCGGATTTTCCTTGCTTTGTTTGTAATCCATGAGACCAAATTTTTTCTAACAAATCGCACAATGATGCAATCAATGTGTTTTCTTCGATACCATCACCCTTGAGACCAAGTGCTACAGCTTCTGTACCCATTTTTTCCAATAACATTCGCTTCGTTTTTGATTTAATATCCTAATGTTATATTATTAATTATAAATGTTGTATAAATGTAAATCATTATTTTGTGTATTACCGCACCTTAAGTAAACGTTCAACAAACGTCCAATTAGCTTGTGCTATTAAAGCTGGACTCACTTCGGTGGTAGATAAATTGGCTGACAGACGATTAACGGAATTTGTAGTTTTGGGATCTAAACAGATTTCTTTGGCACGCCATTTGTTACCGTTTTTAACGCGTCTCAAGCTGTTTCCCCTGCAAATTTGTTTAGTTATATAGAGAACAAATCGGGCCATATGTAAAAGAAAATATTAATACGTAACATTTAAAAGTTTGTAATATGTAATGTGTGTTTTAAGTGATACATTTGATAATTGTAAAAGCAAAATATGAGCTGTAACAAATTCAACCTAAATAATTATAGTTACTCCATACTAAAAAAAATTCCATTAAATTAATTATAATAGTGAACAAATTATAGTTATTAATTCATTTGGTATGAATGTAATGTAATTATTATCTACCCTAAGAAATGAAAACTAAACAAACTGCATTAACATTAAAATATATTTTATTAACAATAATATCAATTAAAAAGAAAAACAAACTTATAATATCGGAAGACACTTTTAATAAAAAACAATCTTTTGTGTTTTACAAATAATATTAATAAATAATAAATACTATACAATAGTTTCATTTGTGATATGTATATATATATATGTAAAATAGCATTCCGAAAAACGAGACTAAATCGATTACAATAAATTTAAGTTTTTATTATTATTGTGTGAACTACCTCGATGCACATTCCTGATTTAAAACAGATTTTTCTAATATAGGAAAACTTCGAAAATATGCTGCACGATTTGAAAGTATTTCGCTTGGTGGCGTCACTTCAATGTCGACACAACTTAAACGTTTCTCAAATACTTGCTGCGCTTCCTGACTCATCACACATGGTTCATAACTGGTTGCACAAATCATATTTTCACCGTGACGTTTTCTGCAATATGAAAGTAAGTAATATATTATTTACATATAATATAGTACAACTTATATCCTAATGTTATATTAATTTTTTAAAAAAAATACTTAATATATGTAAGGTGCATATTTGCATATATAATCCAAATACTAAGTTAATTTGCAAAAGTCTAAGCTAGATGTTGAGTTTAAATTTAATAATATTGTAAATTTTTAGTTTTATCGATTGAACTGAGTTTTAGAGAAATACCGAGTTATATACTTTGAAACAAAAACAGTTTCTAAAACAAAATGAATAAAGTTATATGTATTAGAATTTCAGTATATAAACATTAAATATAAACCCAACTATACCGATATACACAATTTAATTCAAATAAATACCACACTAAATAGATTAAAGAAATGTTAAAAATAGTGACAATAGTCGTGTAACAAAATTAAAAACAACTACATTGTAGAAAGTATCCGTACGTATTAAATGTAATACACAAAAATGTGTCAATCTTATTTTATCGCCTTTAAATCAGTATATTGATCTAGAACTTATATAAACTTATATAAAGTTTATACTTCGGGCCGTTTTATAATAAAATGTGTATTTAAAAATATAATATATATACAGATATATTATCCATTAACTTAAATATTTGCTAATATACATTAGTTTTATATATTTACCTTAATAATTTAACTCGTTGATCAAATAGTCTTAAATTAGCTTCTGGTTCCTTCTCCCAAACAGACAATATTTTATTATCTATTAGTGTTGCAAACATTTGAGATTCTAAAAATCGTGACAAAAATGCACGATGATGTTCAGGTTGATCTGATAAAAATGAATTTTTATCAAAATTTTGTAGAGATTCACGATTCGACAGCCATTCTTCTTTATCTTGATTAGGATATATTACAAAAAATTCATATGAGTAAAACATATGAACAAAGCGATTAAGGAATATTTCACGCAAAGAATTATTAATGCGTAAATCTTGATAATATTGCTCTTCATTGGTAATTATTGTTGGTGTCACTTTCGTCTTTTGGCCTAAAGCAGCAGCTTTCGTAGGTGACATTGTGGCATCAACTATATCAGTGCTTGTATCACCAAAAGACGTAACAGCACTTGGAGATTGTGTGCGCATGCCTCCTTTACGGCGTAAAAAATCTGCAATTCGTGGTACATGATCAATTTTTGAAGGATGCGCAATGAGTGGTTGATATTCGAGATTAACATGATTCGTACCATTATTATTGCCTAATGTATAGACAGTTTCTTGTAATTGATTAAAACGTTCCCTGCTGCGGCGTGTAGCTTGTAGACCGGTTGGCAAGGTACAACTAGATATCATGACATCATGATCACGTGAAGCGTAACCATTTTTGAGTATTGGTTCATGAGAACGATCACGTTCTATATCGAATTTATCTAAAATAGATATTACTTCCGCCATGAAATCAGTTTTATGGGGAAATACAGGAAGCTCTTCTGGCAGTTGTATAATTTTTTTGTCTATATCAACAAAACATAGTGTTGCTTCTGTGCCAATTTTATTGGCGGCTTCGCATTCAGCATGTAGACCCATAACAAAAGGAACTGGAGCATCTAAAAAATGATGCAATGCTGCTGGCAAGATGGGTGCATATACATGCGGCCAAACGAACGGAAATAATATAGATGTAATACATTCACCAACAATCATTAGTTTTTGATAATCTTTAGAGAAAAAATATTTATATATTAATATAGGATACAAAAATTATATATATATATAATAGTTTACCGGTAGAACGTAATAACACTTGATTTTCTAACAATACGCACGTTAGTAATTGTATAACGCATTCAACACCTAAATAGGTGAATAATAAACGTAAAGGAAAATCAAGAAGTGGCAACTCAACACTCAATTCTGGACGTTGTAATGTAAGTGCTAGACCAGCTAAATGTGGTTCGATTGGTGGCAAATAAATTCTTATTGATTTACCAGGTTGAGGTAGCATCACTTCATAGAGTATATTATAAACATATGATTCGAGACTAATACCAGCTCCGGGTTGACGCGGAAGACATCTATAAAATAAAAATTTAGTTTATTCTACTAATTCACAGTTATATATATATAATATATATATATATTTACTTGTACAAATTTGTTAAAAACATTTCAGCTGCAAAAGCATAAGGAATCTGACATATTAAAGAGATACTTTTGGCAACGTAGAGTTTATCCTTGGTTATATCATAATAACTTTGTGCGGATTGTGGTGCTTGACCTGCAACCTTAAAATGACGAGGCAATGATCTGCTCACAGAGGTTTCCTTTATTCTTCCTAATGAATGATTTTGTTGACCACTAGAGAGTTCAGTTATAAACATAGACTAAAATAATAATTATATATTATTTTTAATTCAAAATTAGAAAACTTAGAAAAATTATTAAATGTTAAAATTTGTTTTACCTGCAACGTATGCATAGCACTACAAATGTTTCTATTGCGTATTTCCTCATAAAACACCAAGCTAAATCCATAGCAACGTTTTCCATCCTCTCGAGTTGTGGCAAAAGAATGAAACTTTGGCGTTATGTTGTGCTTTTGAGTTCGAAAACGCAACCCTTGCGGTAAAGATAACTAATGGTATAGATAAAAATAATGCATTAAAGATATTAACATTATTAATGGTTAGTGGTTTTCATTACTTAATATAAACGTTTGGAAAAATCTAATTGACTAAAGCTAATTAACGTATGAAAACTGTATATGTAATCATATATATTGATAGTTTCGAACGGTGTTAAATCACAGAAGCTTAAATTTCTAATAATTGATAACGACTGACGTTTTTGTTTCTTAATAAAAAAGATTATTATGTCAATCATTAAATAATTTATATTTTACTCAACAACTGATAACAAATTAATTTAAAAGATAATAATAAAAATTTTAAATGTATTTCTTAGTTCATAAAAAGAGATTATAATAAACTTTTAAAATTTTTTTTATTATTTATTAAACTCTGATTATCAACTAATTATATTTAATAAAGAGAAATTTTTTGTTGAAGAGAAGATTTACTATATAAGCGAATAATTTTTTGCCTTAAAATAAAATAGGAGAAAGTTATGTTTTGTTTATTGTTTGTTAAACGAACATTAATAAAAGGCGTATTAAAAAAAATACTATACACACAAGCAATCGCCAATTAAGTAAACATTGTTTCTATATATAATCTTTTATATGTTTCTATATATATATATATATATATATATATTAGAAGTTGTTTTGGTAAATTATCACATAAATATAGGTGGCATATGATTTCTTGGTAAAAGACATAAAAAACTCATGAGTTTCTTGAACCAAAGAATCAGAACAAACACTTATCTAATATATATTTATATATTACAAGATGTTTTGGTACATCAGCACATATGGGTACTAAAATATTATTCCCATAGGTGACGTATTTCTTGCTACAAAACTTATGTTTTCTTTTCTTGTGGGAGTTTCTTCAATCAAAGTATCACCATTTATATATAATAAATACAGTCAAACTTCCAAAACTCGAAGTACCATTTTGTAAAGAAAATAAAAAAAGTCGACTTATGGAGACTTTTCTTAAACTAAAAGAATTTTTTTGTAATTGTATGTAATTTGCTCTCTAAATCCTGTTACACCCTATTTTGTTCGAGTTATAGAAAATTCGAGTTATAGAAGTTCGAGTTATGAAAGTTTTATTGTATGTATATTACAAGGTGTTTTAGTATTTCAATCAAAAAATCACCATTCATATAAAATATACATATATATAATACAAGGACTTTCAGTATATCATGATATACAAACGGCATATTAATTGACACAAGAAATAAAAAAACTCATATGACAGTTTTTTTTATACTGTTCGCAAAGATTTAATATATATATGCATAAGATATGCATAAATTTTTTCCGTTTTACTTCCAGTCCAGTACTGATCTGATCAATGAGACACGCGCTCGTAGAGCAGCACTTGAGCAACAAATGATTTGCCGCAAAAAACATCCAGTTTTCTGGGATGGTATACATAAATTATCTGAAGGATGAATAAATGTATAGACGCAGATGGCTAGTATTTTGAATACCAAAAAAATTTCCTTTGGAAATAACGTATTTTCTTTACCAAAACAAAACCGAAAAAAACTTATGCATACATCTGATATATAATACATCACTGCATTAATAAAATATAGCAAAGAAATACAAAACTTTTCAAGATCATTAGAAACATTTCCACATAAACATATGTGCAAGTATATATGATCTGTAAAATTAATATTTTTATTTTATAAACTACTTAAGCCTGCTATCACCATTTTACTCATCGTGTAGATATTTAATTTTGATCTGCAGTCATGCATAAATTTTGTATTTATTTTATTTATATCTCTTCATATATTTACTTTACTTTCCATTACAATCATATTCAACTTTAATTAAGTTCAATTGGCAGACTGCAATATTGAACACAAAGCGACTTATTCATAAAATAATTTGTATATACGATAAACATTGATTGTATGTATTAAAATATATCTACAATATAAGCATTGAGTAGAGAATACACATACCATGCAGATACCATGTGCATCAAATGGGTTCCAAGAAACATTTTCTGGATAATGAGCCAAAGGTTTACTTTTGTAGGCACGATCCAAGGGGGAGCAATGTAAATTATCACCTTCAATTATAATTTTTGAAGGAAATTTAAATTTTAATAATAATTATACGAGTAATAAAACATGTATAATAATTACCAGCAAAACGGTCAGGTTCCAATCCAGTATCCAAATCTAAACCACATATAACAAAATAGTCAGCAAATCTAGAAAACTGTGGATCGGATTCTCGTTTTAATGCTTTCAGCTCATTGTTTGACATATCACCGGGTGATGTGGGAGATGTTACAATAGACGCAGTACCATTTTTTAAAGTTTCACCACCAGCATTATTCAATTTTCTTATAACAATGACATTATTGTGTTGTTGTTGTTGCTGCTGCTGTGTTGTTTGTGACTGCGTTTGAAGTGTTTGCATGTCTGCTGGTGGTGTCGTTAGGGCTGTCGTTGATGCTGCTGATGTTGCTGTTGCTGTTGCTGCTACTGTTAGATGATTCTGTTCGTTAAGTATTAATTTAGTCAAACGATTTCCAACATTTTCAGAAGTCGTCATAGTTTCCACCTTTATAATTATATTTATGTGTGACGTTTGTATTAAGAAGATGGGAAAAAAGTGTTATCTGCCAAGGACGTTTAAAGATTAAAGGGAGGGGGTGGTGAGTAAATGACTTCTGCTGACTAGCAGTAGCACCCAGTTACAAATTTTTCCAATTGCGTATTTTCTAATTTAATTAATATTTTCTTAAATAGCCACATTAAATTTTGCATATTATTTCTTACATTTTTTTCTTTGATTACTTAGGAAAAATTAGTGCTTTTATTAGCTTTGCTTGTATGCTGTTTTCTTTTCTTGTTATTATTGCTTTTGTGGTAGTTTTTGTTTTTGTTGCTGCTGATTTCTTTTTCAAATACACAGCCAACATTTTCACTTATTTCAAAGTTATTTTATATATTTTTATATTTGATCAAAATTTTTTAAAACATTTTTCAATTTATTTTTTGCACAAATAATTTTATATTTTATCTATCACATTAAATTTAAAACAATAAACTTTCAAAAAACCATCAGTACCTACAACCAGACACAAAAAGCATTTACCAAGGTACTGAAGAGAATGATGGACAATAAGAGCAAATATATTTGACGAATGGTTAAGTGTTGAAAAATCATATAATTTATATTCAAATAAAATTAGAAAAAATTTAACCTTTTACTACACTGCATATACATATGATAGCCGTAATTTTTTCTTTTTCAGACCAAAAAAAAAAAAATACTCGCAACTTACGAAAGTAAACAACTCAGAAAGAAAAAATTACGGCTATTGATAAATTGATTTTCAAATAAAATATTTTATTTTTCTTTATTTGAATATAATTAAAGACAAACATATAATAACTTGGTATTTTAATTTTTCAAACAAATTTTCAATATAATTATGTCTAATTGCACCCTTGATATATAATATGCGTTTTCAGTGGCTCGCAAGTATGGCAAAAAACAGCAAGTTGCTGGCCTATACTAGACGAAATGTACGCAAAACAACAACAATTTGAATCATAACTTTATTTGAATAAAATACACAAAAGTAAATTTATATAAATTAATGGTACTCTGATCGAACTTAGTAAAAGATGTCATATGAAACGTTTTATAGAATATGAACCAAAATTTAATCTGAAATGATATACAAATTCAAAAAATTCAAATGTAGGTATATAAATTAGAGATATTCAGAACAAACTTAATAAGTCAACACTCAATAACCAACATAATTGTTCAATGATATTATCCTAAACTATTCCGAATTACCAAAGCACCTGAGCTCGTATTTGGGGAATTCAAATTTAATACTATATTCACATTACCTTCATTAAATCGGTTTATTTGATTTAGGTTGCTAATGAAGTTGATTAACTAATCTTAATTTAGTTAAGAATAAATAAATTAAAATTACACCAAAAATGTTGAATGTAACATTGAAAAATATACTTCCTTAAAGGGCAATTACCAAAATTTGACTTATTTGTCACATGAAATAAAATGTCAATAAACCAAATCATTAACTCTGTATTAACTCTGTATTCGGTAAAGAATGAGATGGAGAAGGATGATATTAATTTATAAATCACTCCATACATTTCATCCAATTTTGTTTTGCATTTATATCAAGTAACAAACTGATAAATAGAAACAGTATGTATGTATATGGAAAAAATGCAAATTATCCAAGCAGCATACGACGAGCATGTCGATTAAAATTTTTTTCGGTAAACTTTTCAACATTGGCTTATATAATAATAAATATAATATAATAAATTTTATAAATAAAACTTTATTATTTAATATTTTATTGAAAATATTTGTTACTAAATTATGTTTATTAAATTTGTATAAAACGTGAGTTTTATCAGTGATAAAACAACTTCAATGAATAATATTAATGTTATTGATATATTGGACACATCTCTATCCTGACGATATTCATAAGATACGAAATGAAAATTGTATAAAAAATAATATTTATTGCTAAACATTTGTCGAGTCGATTGTGTTAGTAGTTCAATTTAAAAATGTAGTTCATTTTAAATATGTAACACTGAAAATTAGTATTAATAAGAATTAACCATGTAAAATTGTGATAATTTAAATTCATGATGTTTTGACTCACACAAATTCCCATATTTATGTTAATACACGTTTATTTTAAAACTCAAGTTTAAATACATATTAATCACTACTCAGAGATCAACTACCATTACAAGGCACATAAAAGAAACATTTGTTCAAATATTTTATCTGGCAGCGATGTAAACTTAACGAAATATGTCCTAAAATTATTGTTCAATGGTAAATCCCTTATTGTGCGTTTTGCCGAAAAATCTATATAGCAGCGTTTGCAATAACATTTTTGCAAATTAAAATTGGTGTTTAAATAACCAAATTGTTCAATATAATATGTTTTGAACAACGCACGTATTCATTAACATACTTAAAGAAAATAATTTAACAACAACTTGTGCACAGTGAAAGTCTATAATGGCGGGTGGTAATTCACCACGCGTTGTCCAAATTACCAATATTGCACCTCAAGCGACAAAAGACCAAATGCAAACGCTATTTGGTAATATTGGTAAAATTGAGGAAATTCGATTGTATCCAACAGTACGTGATGTTTCTTGTCCCGTTCAATCAAGAATTTGCTATGTAAAATATGAAGATAGTAATTCTGTACCGGTGGCTCAACATTTAACAAATACGGTCTTTATTGACCGGGCTCTTATTGTTATACCTGTATTAGCTATACCTGATGAATATCGCGCACTGGAAATGTCTAAGAATGGTACGATTGTGCCGGGCTTACAAAAACCAGATTCGAAACTACCACCGGAGGTAGTTAATAGGATTGAGGGCCAATCGCCTCAGCAGGTATATTTGAATCACTCATTATTATTTACTCAATAATAAATCTACTTAAATAAATCTACATTTAGGTAATAAAAACTTATGATCCAAAACTAGTGGATAATAATTTACCAGAATATCCTGCATTACCTTCTTTTTATGATGGTAGAAAAATAGAAGAGATTCGTCGTACGATAATCGTATGTGATGTTAAAAACGAATGGCGCCTTGATGATTTAATGGAATGCTTTCAACGTGCAGGAGAAGTTAAATATGCGCGCTGGGCTGAAAAAGATAACAAAACTTACTGTATGATAGAATTTTGTGAACAGCCAAGCATTATACATGCGTTAAAAATGCAAGGTCATGAGTTTAAAAGTGGATATCTTAATGTATATCATTCAACAGATTCTATTGTTAAACCTGAAGCTAAATCAAATGAAGCCGCACAAGCCGAAATTGAGGAGGCAATGACAATTGTAAAAGAAGCTCAAAATATGATTTCAGCTGCAATTGACCCTGTAATTGGAATGTTGGCAAAAGATAAACGACGTCGGTCGCGTTCACGATCTCGCTCTCGTGAGCGTCGTACTAGTCGTTCCAGATCACATCGTTCTCGATCTCGAAGACGTTCCCGTTCGCGTACACGTAAACGCACTCGCAGTAAATCTAAAAGACGTTCTCGTTCACACTCTCGCAGTTCTCGATCGAGGAAGCGTTCCCGATCACATAAACGGTCACGCTCTCGTCGTAAGAGTCGATCACGTTCACGTTCTAAACGACGCACACGTTCGCGCGAACGTCGTAGCAAAAGATCACGTTCAAGACATAGAAGAAGTACTTCAAGAACTAGACGCTCACGTTCCCGTGGAAAGCGTTCCAGATCTCGTGAACGTAAACGTTCTCATAGAACAAGAGAAGAAAAACGATCACGTTCTTCGCGTTCGCGTAGTAAACGTCGAACTTCCATTTCTCCTTCATCTGTACGCTCTCGCTCTAGTCGCAGAGATGTAGCACCACCAACTTCAAAGACTTCATCTTCAAAACGGCGTTCACGTACACCCGATCGCAAATTGAAGGCGATAATAGAGGACTCCGAAATAAAAACTACACGTCCTAGTTCAGATTCTAAATCTCGGAAATCTGTTAGTGTGGAAAAATCGGATAACATGGATATATCAAACTCTCCCTAAACGATTTAACAATATTTAAAGTATTTTCGTTTCTTTATAAAAAAGATGAAACAACAAATTTAAAATATCATTTAAACAATTTAGTTGACTTTTAATAATCTCTTAAAATAAACAAATAGTTTCATAAAATATAGATTTAAATGTACTTGTATTTTTTTTCTGATTTGAATGATGTTTTGTCCTATATATATATTTTTGTTCTACATCTATTAATATTAAATAAAATTAAAAACATTGGTAATTGCAATAATTTAACAGGACAAATTAAACGCCTTATTAATGAAATCAAGTTCTGGGATATGCAAATACAACTAAAAGAACCATTAATCGAAATGTTAAAGAAACTTCAAATTATAATGTTCAAAATCTTTTGGTAATTGTTGTGGGAGTTTACTGATAAATCTTATATATAAAAATACAAATAAATTAAATTGAAATAAATTATTAGCATAACTGTAAATTAAATACACTTAATTAAAGTATTAGAATGTCTTTTCAACTACAGTTTTTGAAATTTCTAAGGTTTTACTGTAGTCATATTATTGGTTATAACATCACGTCAATTAAAGATTATTCATTGCCTACTTGGGGAACCATTAGTGAAAGTCGCATATAGACTATTTCAGCATTTTTACGTTATTCGGTCTTACACTGGTTGCTTTGTTGTCATTATTATATTACAAATGATACAATATACTTCTTAGTAAAAACAAATTTTTATTTGTTGAGAATGTATGCGGTAACTGTGAAAAATGAATATTTCTCTTATTCCACACAATTTTGTATGTATCTTCCAAGACAATCACATCGAGAGCAAGTTATTGGGTGCCACCTATAATTTGATATTTGAAGCAAATTAAAAAATTAGTACATAAAAGAATTTAATTTTTTTTTGTTATATAAAAAGGAATATACACAACTCCTTTTTTTTGCTGTAGATGGAAAGCATCGAAAGCCACAGTGTGAGACTTGAACCCACTGAAACCATCTCTTCGGAATGTATGGAGAAGATTTCCACAGCAATGTGGAAACCTCATTTCAGTAATCAGATAGACTTAATACCTAGTGGACTAGGTTCATCTAAACCAGAAAGCATGGGCGAGAAATATGGAGAATGGGTAATACTGAAGGATATACAACTCCTGTAAATAATTTATAGCTTTTAATAAAATAGAATACACAGTTACTAATTAAAATAATTATTTTTAGAAGGGTTTTCGAATAACAAAGAAAGAAATAAAGGACAAACACAAAAATTTATTTTTAATTTTATTGAAATTTGGCTGACCATACAACGCTGTTTCGAGTATTGCCAAGTACTCTTCATCAGTGGTCTTTGGGAATAATAGAATTTTTTTAATTAGTTTATAGTCCGTATATAATTTGTTTGGACTGCAAACAAATTGTGTTTGTCCTTTATTTCTTTCTTTGTTATTCTAAAACCCTTCTAAAAATTTAATAAAGCTTCTTTGTCACTATACAAAGTAAGTCTAGCTTTACAGCAACACTAATACTTTATTAAAATAATTATTGATTTTATTAAGTAATTAATTTAATCTTAAAACAAGCATAAAATAACAATTTATCTTGTTAAAAAAAAACATTTGTTTCTATAATGTTTATTTGTCTTTTTAAAATATTTTTAATTGTTCTTTGCTTTCTTTTCAATTTTCAACCATGTATTATTAAAAGCTGAAAGTTGATTTCCATTTCGTATATACGATTTCTGTCAGTTTTATTTATATCTCAATTTTGCGGAATCATTTTATGGTTAGTTCATTTACGCAATCTAAAAAATAAGAGTTAATATATTTAAAATTGATATGTTCTGATGAAATAAATGGATATACAATATTTAAGTAGCGACAATGTTCTGCAAAAGTACTTTTTCCAACAAAATGTACTTTTGAGGTTTTCGTCAACCCAGTTTACCGACATGCTGTGTGGAGCATCTGTCAAATTGAAGTGTGATTATTATTGTTTATACTTTGGGATTTGTTAATAAAAAATGAGAAAACTAAATAAAAATATAAGAAATAGGGCGAAAATAGCAGTTCAAAAATTGAAAAAGGGAAATGAAATCACAGATTCCTTAATTGACGAAGTAAATAAGAATGAAATGCTTCATAAAACAATTACACCAAAAAAAATTGGCAAAAAAAAGGACAAACTGAAACGAAAACATAAAAATTTAATGAATAAATTTGTTACGATGGCAGCAAAACGTAAAGAAGAGAATGCACGTAAAAATAGAGAGAAGACTGCTGTAGTAGGTGATTTGAAGCCACTAAAGGATGCACTGCCTTCTCTAGATGAACTTTTCAAAATGACCAAAGCAAAAGGCAATATCAAAACTGGTGTTAAAGAATTTGATGAAGAACCACAAAAATTAAATCCTAAACAGAAATTTAGGCAAAAACAAAATAAACTTATTAGTCAAGCAAATTCTTATCAAGCATTGCTTAAACATCCTGATTTCAAGAAGAATCCACGTGAAGCTATCGCATTTCACATAAAGTATACACATGGTCTATTGGATTTATAAATAAATAATATTAACAAATTCATTCAAGTGTTTATAGGTTTAATTTTTTTAATATAAGTTTTCTTAAATAAAGCTGTTTTTTAATTAATGAATTCATTATTCGCAGCTTAAGATAAAGAAATGTTATCAATTTTTTTCATAAATAATTTCTGTGCTATTTGAAATCATAGTAAAATAATATATTAAAGCATATTATTGAATATCAATTAATTAATATGTGTTATGTTAAGGATATGTTTTTCTGTCAGCATTTCTGTGTTTAAAAAGCTCGAGTAAATTAAATTTAAAATTTTAATGAACGATTCTCCAATTGTCATTAAGAGTGAAAACTGACTTAAATCAGCAAACTTAAACACGAATAAGGTCAGTATGGTATCGCTGTACAGAGGTATCTGAATACAGAGATATCTCGGGCAACTGCAGGTCAGATGCTCTTGCCAAGGCACGCACTCTGCTCTCTGACATTTAAAGAATATAAAAAAAGAAATCCTAGTGAAAGAATAAAAGAAATCAAAGCGCAAAAGCTTAACAATCAACAAAAAAAAAAAAACAGGCGACTCAAAGCGACAAAAATAATTTGAGAAATCAGCTACAAAAACTTGATCACCATAGGTGGTACCCAAAATCAATGAAAAAGTCATCAGCAATAATATAGCAATATCGAACATCACCTCAAACAACACGACAACAATAATATACATGATTTTCATTATAGTAATTATATTATTAATATGTAAAACTCATGCACACTTCAAATCTTATATAAAAAAGCAAGCATTAAGAAACATTAATGTCTAATGTTAAATAATTTGTTAAATAGATTATAATGAAATAAATAAAAATTATAAATAAAAAAAACAAAATGCATTCTAGAACTTATATCTTACTCATTAAAAATATAGACACAACTACTACCTTAATATTAATAACAATACTCATTATTAAAATTATGAAACTGTATATATTAATGAAAATATTTAATTTAAAATAAAATGTCCAATATCATATATGGATTTTAAAGATTTAAAAAATATATTGAACAATTTAAAAAAGAATCCAAAAATAACCTATACGAGTAAATGCATTAACGTAACTAGAAATTACAAAGAACAGATTCAATCTAGCAACAGACAAAAGAACTGTCGTTTATTTTGAATCAAGTTCTATGCGGCATTTAAATGGTGAAAGAACTTTAAGCAGCTGAAAACCTTATTAATACAAAACATATATCCTGTTAGGTTATTCTATTCGCTTGTCGGTAGGCTCAATTTATATTTTCAGGATTCACTCTTAACGACCACCAGCAATATATATATATATAAATACCACAATATTTCACATACGACATCCAGTATCGGTGTTGCAAGGTCACTGCATACAATGAATACACACTATGATTTAAGGTCGACCCTATAATCTCCTTCTTCGTGGTTGAAAGAATTGAGGAGAAAACTGTACTCCACCTCAAATGTCAGCGTCCATAATTGGCTAGAAGATTTACAATCTTTGGAGCTCCTTTTCTTACCAATTTGACACAGCTGTTATCCAGCAAAATGGAGAATTGGCTAAGTTTAACATTATGGGCTTTAGAGACAGACCCGTTATTCCAAACTAACCTAGCCTCACCTAAGGTTAGTATCGAGATTTAAATTCGACTGTGAAATCAACCATATATATTTGAAATGCTCTTAGAGGAAATGCTTTATGCTTCGTTTTATATTCGGTTTGTATTATATGTATAAAATCTATCACTATCAAGCGACTGTGCCACCAAATGCTCAAAGTATACTTGAAGCAGTCGAAGTACATATAGCTCAAATAATATTTGATGCTCTAGTATCTACATTTTTCTGTATCAATCTAAACAATCTTATTTATAACGTTTCTACGCAATAAAATTATGAAAGAAACGCTTCAAACAAACTACCATATTATTCAAATATGCATAATAAATCGTGTATGATTGTGATAATTACTCTTACTTTTCTCAAATTAAATAAGTGAAAAATTTGATGGTCGGAATATTTTTAAATTTAACTAACACAAAAAGTTTGGTTTAAGTTTTTTTTTTTTATTATTTGCAATACAATAATTACTTTACTTATTATTATATATGAATGCAAATGGAGAATTCATCTATTCAATAAAATTATAACCAAATATTGTATTCATCTATTAGCCTTATCTATAAAACACTTTGAATTTAGCATTTGTAGTAGGTTTATATTTTAATGTACAAAGTGTGTTAATATAATTATACTATTTTGTTTCTCGTGTATTGTTCTTAAATATTTAGTACAATTTAATATTTAATTTATTTTTTTTTTTTTGTATAAATAGATCTTATGAGATTGTTGTAGCTTTAACAATAAATTTCATATATTTAGAAAGCAGTTATACAGTCAATATTAAATTTTTCAAATTTGTTAAGACTGAAGGAAATGGATACTGTATTGTTTTAAATATGTATGCCATTGAATTATAAACCAATTCTGCTTAAGAAAGCGCATACATGAAAATTAAGATTAATAAAAATACTAACATTAGAGATGATGTACTTTTAAAAACAGAATTAAATAGGCTAGAGTAAAGATTCCAAGCGACTTGATCTTTTTAATTTATTTAAATATCATTAAATATTTGAAAACAATACAGATCATCATTATTCAGGAATTAACATATGAGAAAAAAATTGATATCCTTCTGTTCATCATTCGTAACGCTTGGTGTTTTGTCTTACAGCATAAGTAGATATTACAGATATATATGTATATAGAGAAAATAAAACAATAATAACAAATAATTACAAATACAAAATACTTATAGTTACTGGTTTAAATTTTTGGTTACAATAAAATTTAATTTTCTTTTAAGATAATTATTTTTAATTTTCTTTCTCATTTGTTGAAGCAGATGAGATCATTGCATATATTACACTTAACGATTTAATTTTTTTTTAAATTATGCTTAGATTAAATATTGCAATAACAAATACAGATCTTAATAAATATGTACCATTAAAATCAAAATATTACATATATTTTATGTATTATATAAAAAATGTTTTAATTGAAAACATTCTAAAAGCGTGTTTTGATGTAATTTGTATATTCTCCATTTGCTCATTTTCTTTTTTTACATTTTTAAAGATATCACTAAAATGGCAATTTAAATAATATGCTTTTTATTTAAATTATTTAGTTTAGACATAAAGTGTATATAAATTTCAGTTATAATAAACTTAATTATTAGTAAAAATATATTGTTTTAACTAAGAAATACATTTAAAATATATATGTATACAACATACAAGTATTATGACTTAATATATATAAAATTTACTTCCAAATTTTTAAACATAAATAAATATTTAAATTCTTAGTCGCGTATGCAGTTAACTACTTCACTTTATAGGCTTTTAGTTTGCATAATTGAAAAAAGAAAAAGAAAGAAAAAAATTTGAATATATTGAAATGAGTGAATTATATATTTTTATATTATTATATTAAAAAAATATATATGAAAATTTAATTTCAAGCTTATTGCATAGCCCGTTAAGTTAAAAATTTTTAAATATAAAGTTTCCCAATTATTGAGACTACAATGAAATTTTTACAGACTAGGCTATTATGTCATAATTTATAAAATAAACATCTTTTGAAAATTTTTGTAATTTATTATAGTAATATACTATAAATACTTAATTAAAATAACCAAAACAATTTAAAACTAGAATTGATTGTACGAAATTTAAATACCCTTCACACTTATAGTTGCCGTATTATTAAATTATTAAGTTTTAATAGAATTTACCACTTTGCTTGACTTCACAGAAATGATTAGTGTTTAACAAAGAATAAGAAAAGCATACACCTTTCTAAAATTGAGGACCGAGTGGACATACAGTTACAGATCTTTAATATATCCTAATTATATCGTTAATTTTGTTTTGAGTACTTTTAAAGATTTACTGTACTATGATTTGGAAGAGCTGTTATATGATATTTAAAATAAAATCATATATTAAAGTTGTATTTTGTATATCAATATTCTGTACATAAGTATCGAGTATTTCTAATTAACATGAGGCACGCTTAAGTTATATAGTATAAAAATTATTTTTAATAAAAGAATGAAAAGAAGAAAAAAAGAAGTAAGAAGGAAAAGAATACACTTGCATTCATTAAAAATAAATAAAATAAATAAATATATAAAATTAAAAACATGAAAAAAATGTAAAAAAGACAAATAACCAAAAATAAAATTAGTTAATAAATAAAGTAAAATAAGTAAATATAATATATACATATATATAAACAAATAAATAAAAAATATATATAAAAAATTTGAAATTAAAATAAAAAAAATATTAAAAAAATTATATTAAAATAAAAAAATTATATTTAAATTAAAAAAAAATTATATTTAAATAATATAATAAAACAAAAAAAAAAATTTAGAGGGCTTCAAATAGCAAAGAAAGGACAAACACAAAAATTTAGTTAATTTCTTGAAATTTGGCTGGCCATACAACACTGTTTCGAGTATTGCCAAGTACTCATCATTAGTGGTCTTAGGAAATATCCGAATTTCTTAATTAGTTTATAGTCCGTATATAATTTGTTTGGACTGCAAGTGCCAGGCTCTTAGGCTTGTGCCTGTCAAATTAGAAGCTATGACTAATCGTGTTTTTCCACAGGTAGCCAAGGCTGCACAAACTTTCCGTACTCAAGTTCCAGGTTTTTTGTCACTTTTTTATTTAATTAATGAGATTAACCAAAGAACTTGCCGTACTTTAAATTAGAACGAGCTTATAAATTACAGCTTTATTTGGAAATACAAGTTCAACGAATTGAAAGTTAACTTTTGCTTATTGCTTATTTTTATATTTCAAAGTCATTCTTTTTGTAGAGACATTTGTTATGCACATTGCTAAGCGTAGCTTTATTGGCAAAACTATTTACCTTTGAAAGAAAAAAAATATATATAAAAAATAAATAAATAAATAAACAAAATAAATAAATATATATAAAAAATTATATATAAAAAAATAAATATATATAAAAAATAAATATATATAAAAAATAAATATATAAAAAGAAAAATAAATATATAAAAAGTAAGATAAATAAATAAATAAAAATATTAAAGAAAAAAAAATAACGAACTATAAATAATAAATATAAAATAAAAAAATAAATAATTAAAAAAAAACAAATAATTAAATAAAAAAAATAAATAAATAAAAAAAATAAATAAATAAGAAAACAAAGAAAAAAAAACAAAGGAATAAAAAAAAAACAAAGAAATAAGCTAATCTTTAGACATTGCCAAAAATGTATATTAAAGGTGTTAACGTAGATATCTATAAACTAAAAATTCTCAATAATTTCTGAACAGATTTGAATTGTTGGTTTAAAGCATTTAATAAACTTTTTTGAAAAATTGTAATACAATATTAAAAGATACTATATATTGTTTGAAGGGTAAATAAATACATATATATATATAATATATATATATATATTAATTTTTTTCATAATATCAAAAGATGATTTATTTTTATTTTATGCGGAGTTCTTTAAATTAATATAAAAATAGTATATAAAAATAAAAGGTTATTACTTATTCAGGAGAAACATTAAGAGCCTGAAAAAGAAAAAAATATATTTAATATTTATTTTTAAAAAGAAATAATATATAAAATGTTACCTAAAGTTGATGCCCTTATTTGATAAAAGACGGTTACATTCCGAACTATCCGGTAATGGGAGTACATAATAGTCACTTTCTGTACACTAAAATTAAATTTTATTTATAATTGATATAATAAAATATATAGATAAATTGTATTAATCTTTTTTTATGTTATTAATTTTTTTTATGTAAATCATAAAATTATCAAACTATTTTCTTTACAGCTAATAACGTTGTAATATGCTATAATTTTTACTTCCCTTTAAGATTGGAAGGTATCCAGCTAGTTTGATTACAAAATGATACAAAGTCCTGGTGTCATTTTTAATTTATCTAGAATATATATTTGTCATTGTATCCCAACGGATTCTAGTAAGCAAATATACAACGTATACAAAAGAGAGATGGAGGGGATTATGTAGTGGTATTAGGTAAGATAAAGAATGGCTGCAAGATTGATTGGTTTCAGTTGTAGGATTTTATTTCTTCTCAAAAGAAATGGTATCATATTTAATGCAGAAGTCTTTGCAATAGATTTAATAGTTGAATGAAACCTCTGATATCAATTTATACAACTTATCAAACATCCAATTGGAATTAAAAAGCTACATTTTTGAGCAAAAAGCAACACTCGAATCCTGTAAGTGCCGAAATAAACTGAAACGCTGGAACAAGATGAGTAGGATATAGAAAAATAACCCAAAATAGAAATTAAAGCCCCCTACATAGAATTGTTATATGGTTAGATACGGTTAAGCTAATATCTGAATGATATTAAATGTACTGCGAAACAAACTGACTACTCACAGATATTTAGATATGTTTAGTACGTGCAGATGTCTGAAGAAAAAGGGAATAATATTCACAAGGTAATTACTGCTTGTCTTCAAAAATGCAAAAGAGGATGTAGTACGAGTTAACTGATGCGACTGTATTTCTACAAACTAAGAATCTGTAAGTCGAACGAATGCAGACATTGCTATGAATATAAAGAGACAATTAGATATTCATAGATATATACCCAGCTTCATCATTAAGCAGTGATGGAAAGCATGATTTTGCAGATTTGCAGTATAGAGAATTTGAGACCCTGATCCGCTTTTCTAACCCATCTGCATCAGAAATCTGATCTGCAAATTGCAGTGCCAAACGGTTTAATAAATCTACTATTTTTTTTAAACAAGTATGAAACAAGTACTTTACAAATAAACAATGAGTAAACAAAGTAACATTATTTTAACAAAACAATTCATATTAAATTTAATTACCTGATCAGTAAAATCATGACGATAAATTTGTGTTGCTACCTTCATATCAGAAAATGGACCCCGGAGTGCAAAGAAATGGATGCTTAAAGGTGTGGTAGTTTTTGTCTTCAATATAAGCTATTAAAAATTAAAGATTATGTTATAAATAGTATATATCTATATATCTGCTGAAACATTTTATTTAATGAAATTATACACATGTAACAAATAAAATATATTAAAAGCCCTCAAATGAATTACAGCCAGTCATCGCAATGATTATGGGTTTTTTTAGTTTTTTTATGACTGAATAAGTAATTCGTTTGTGTAGACTTATCATTTTTAATAAATTTATTTTTATATAAAACCGAACCTGATAAGTGACAGTTCTTTCATTAGATTGATGTGGATCTCGCTGGCTATTATTTATGCGAGCCTTAACCACCCACTGATGATTAAAAGCCGAAAACCTTGCAGTTTCATAAAATAATTTATGAACATACTCATCAGTACGATATGGTTTCATTTGAAGATCTAAAATTGGGTTATATTTTATGTGTAAGTAGAATTAATTATTTTGATATTATTGAAATTCTTAAATATACCATTAAAAATGATCTTTTCATAACTGAGAAGATCAATCAAAGTATTAAAAACAGTTTTCTCCTGTTTAATTTTTGCGTCATGAGCCTCCAAAGCAGCCATAATCTCGAATCCTTTCTTTGATGGATGTAAACAATTGCGTTCATGTTCGGTGGCTAAAAGTAAATGATTGGGATAGATTTTTGTAAAAAAATTTTTTTATATAATATTAATGAAATAAATACTTTCATGATATGGTCCACGCCATTGACAACCAATACGTGCATATTTACAGTTGGTGGGCCTTTCTTGGCACTCGCGTACTTCATGGCGTTCAAGCGATTTGTATGGGAACTCCTTATTGCAATACTATATAATATGCAAATGGATCAGTATTAATATTAATAAATGTGTATATTAGTTTGTTGATTTGTAGGTCTAATAAAAATTATTAGGTTTTACATAGTTTAAAGTTTCAGGAGCTTACCTGACATTCACTTGGCAGCTCGGATGCAGCTTTCTCGACCGCTAGATTGCGGGAGGCTGTAGTTTTAGATATCTCAACGCGACAATTAGGACATGTAGCTATTTGATCACGTAAACTATGTTAATATAAGAATAAAAATAAATTAAAAACAAACATATTTATTAATGTTATTAATCAAAACATGTATCAATGTTAATAATAAAAATATTCATTAATTAAATAGTGGGTACATATAATAGATATCAATTAACTGTTTTAATAATTATATGTGGTGTAATTTAAAATATTAATTGACATTCATACCGTCCATCTGCTAGCAAATGTGTGAAGCATGCAGCGCACATTAAATGACCCATCTGACACTGAAATTAAAAACAAATAAATTCCATTAAAGTTATATGAATTTTAACTAATGCTATAGATAATGAAGAATATTGGCTAAATAATTAACTAAACACAGAAAATTCCTGAAAATGGGAAAAAGAAAAGAGATACCATTAGTATGACCGTATTTTAATATTTATTTATATAAATGTTTTTTTTTTGTTTGTTCGTTTATTTAATGATAAAGTGACACAAGGAAGATATATCATGAATGATGATTGATGAAAATTTGTAAGGATAAGGAGGAAAATTTAAGGAAAAATTGCTTTAATTTTGAAATAAAAAACTGCATTTTTTTTATTTTCAACTTTATGATGTTATTTTTTATTGATAAATTCAATTTTAAATTAGCAATACAATTTTTTGTTCTATTAAATATTATATAAATTATTTTTATAGACATTTATCCATTTGATGTATATGTATAAAAGACATTTTTCTTATAGTTTAACAATCTTTACTTTTTACTTACATTAAATTACATTTTCATTTTGTTTTTATATTTTTTTTTAATTACATACGTTTTATATTCAGGCAATGGTAACAGTTAAAAAAACTAAAATAATATTATTTCTATCAAGTATTTTTCGTAATCGTATGGAAAGTTTAAAAAAAATCGAACTAGTTAATAAACTAATAATTAAATAGAATATTTAAAAAAAATTGACTTTTTAAAACTCATACAAAATACAAATTTTAATATTTTATAATTAAATAATAATTTACTGAAAGTCGCTAGTCTATGCGAAAAAAAAAACAAAAATACTTTTAATAAAAATAATTTGTTTTATATAATAATTATTTTAAATAAATAATTTCACATTTGACTTAATTATTATTTTTATTTTATTACTAAAATAATTATTTTTTATTTCAACGTGTCTGGTACATAAAGACGATCTATACCTAAATAGAATAAATTGTGCAAATACCTAATTAAGATACTATATTAAATAATGTAATAAAATAAAGTAATAATTATCAAATTATTTTTTCTATACAAATTTATTTTTCGGATTATTAAGTAAGATAAAAGATCTTTTAAAATATTTTATTTATTTTTTATTTAGTTTTTAAACTCTTTTTTTTCTTATATATTATATTATTCAGCCTAAACATCTACATATATATACATGTACTTTGAACTTAGAAAATACCTGCAAGTATCACTATTTCAAATACGTAATATTTAACTGATTAAAAATTTATTGAATGATAAAAAAATATATTGTTCTTTATCTAAATGCTTTTCAACTATAAATACGTAAATATACCTAATCTTATAATGAAATTACTATTTTCCTATCTTGTAGAAAACGTGTACAGCTTTTTTCAATATTTGGATACGCAATACTCATACATTATATGGTAGTATATTATATTTATATATATATTTCTTATTTTTTGAAATATCTTATGCTCAAAATATAAAAATATATTAGGTTGACCTATAAATATAAACCTATAAATATATAGATTGGTACTATATCTTTTATACAACTATTACAAAATTTATTTATTTGACATAAATAAAATCAACATAATTAATAAACAATTAAATGATTAAAGATCATAAAAATATTTAATATTTTTACTACTATAATCCTGATTATAATGCTCAAATTAAAGCGTAATACTGTGGATAATTTTACCCACAAATACTTAGAATACATCGAAGGTCGATTGTGATAAAGAGATAATGTTAATTATTAAATATAAAAATGTTGACTCGCATGTTGTAAATGCGGGTTAGAAAAATTATACTATAATGAGGATTTTATTAATTTTATTAATATTGTATATTTTCCTATATAGTGACATATAAAAAATTTTATGTTATTATTTTTTCACTATAGAAATTACTTAATTTCTAATAATAGCCTCTTTTCGAAGCTATTAAATATTGTTAGCTATATCTGTTATTAATATATAATAAAAATATTTTCTAATAATATTAATTATTTTAAAGAATAGATACTCTGGGTTTTGCTAGAGCCTACGACGACCCAATAACGTAATTTACCTTCGCAGGAGTTTCACCATTTACAGGAATGATAAAATAATTTTGGTTACTATAGCAACAACAGATCTACACCTACTTATACCAATAAGGTTTAGGTGAATAGAATTATATAATAATTAGAAATAATGATAATAGACTTTTGATATAAAATTTTTTCGAACAGCTATAACATTTTATTTTAATTTTTATGTATTTATAAATTAATGTTGCATATTATTTTTAAATATAAATTTAACTAAATAAATTTCTTATAAATACATACTTCATTGAGGTCTTTGATATATTTATATATATATTTATATTATATATATTATATTATATATATTATTAATATTATTATATATTATATATATATATTTATATTATAGAATTTACTATTTCAGTAGACAAATAAAATGAAAAAGAGCTTATAAACATATGATATTTTTTTATATTTGAGTTTTCCATTATATTAAATGTTAGATATACTAAATTATTTGTTGAATGTACAACATAAACAGATATTTGTATTAAAATAAGTAGTAGATAAAGTACTAGATAAGTAGATAAACATAATATTAGAAATGTTCTGTTTTAAACCAAACAAAACTGTCATTATCTAGAAATTTGAGTTGAACGATAAATTATTGTATAAACATAAAAAATACTATTTCTTTTAAAATAATCTACTATAAATAAACTAATACTTTCTTAAGTGTTAAAAATAGCATTATATAATTTGTTATTAATATAATATTATGATATTGAAAACAGACTTAAAGAATAACTTTTTAAAGTCTTGCCGTTAGAGGGAACATTGATATTATAGATTTCTCAAACAACTATAAATAATCTACCTAAAAAAGTACATATTTTTTAATTCATCACGTAATACAATATGTACACTTTGAAAAAAATTTAAATATCCAAATCCATATTGAAAAATAGTTTCCATGACATCAGTTATAAGTTTAAAATAGTTATTTTTTTATATTATCCAGCGGGACGGGTTTTAGTAATGTGCTTTAGTCAAGAAAGACTATAATAAAAGCAACATATATGGCGCTGTATTAAATCTTCAAAAATCTGTGGCAGATAATATATGTTTTTAGATAAAGAATAGCACGGATTCCTTAAACCCAATAGATGCTAAAAATTGTCTGGCATTTAGTTGCTTAAGAGTTTGCGTCTTTAAAACGAATGCATTCATTAATAATTTTTTTTAAGTACTCAATTAAATTAGCATATTTCTATATATTAATTATTAATAAGGTCAACTCTTTACGACTAGTGTAAACTTTTAGCTAGAAAGTAGATTTAACTTTAGCTAAACAATAAGAGAAACACTCCTATAGAAAGTTCAAATTTTTATATAAGATTAAGAACAAGAGTAGTAATCAAAAATATTTAAGTTTAAATACATAAACCATTAATAAAGAGTGAAAAAATACTAATGCAATAACTATGGATAATAATTAGATAAGAATATATATAAAAAAGGATACAAAAATAATTTGGGAACGATAATATTTGTACTATAATTGATATAGCGACATAATACAAATGTAGAATACATTTTTAACTTATGGAAAATACTATGCTTATCCATATTATAATTTAGGTAACAACAAAATTACAACTTTTCTGTTTTAAAAATGATGAAACATTAACTGGGAAGTACCTGTTTCAAGACCATAGTATGGAGTTTCAGATAACAAAAGGATAAGCAATAAATTTACTAAAGATAAAGTTTGTACTATAATTCATACAGCGTAAGAAAACAATGCTCGCTAATACATGTTGAAAGCTAAAGAAAGCTTACAGATTATAAAAAAAAAACAATTATTCTACATCATAGATTAAACGCACAACATAAGAATGGAAATGTTGCTTTATAGCATGTTTCCACTGTCTACTTAGTAAGTTACTTAAGTAACTTTAAGATTTTGTCGTTTCCACTGATATAAGTTAATTATTGCGTGACAAAGAACTTTTGTGTGTCAGAAAGTTCTTTGAAAGTTTTAGGAGTGCTTCTATTTGTTTAGAAAAATTTAACTCAATAATATAGCATACAAAAAATTAGATATATATATATAATATAAATCTATTACGTATTACGTATTCAATTTAAAGAAACAATGGTTTTATTAAACACTCACTTTCTCAGTACGTTTGTTTACAGCTCAGCTGTTGTTTGTTTACATTTTACATATAAAACATATGACAAATATCTCAAATATTGATCATTTCTCTTGAGGGAAATTTCTTTTTAAGGGTTCAATTCGACATTTTTAATCTAATTTTCCTTACTTTAATTTTAAGTAAGTTAAAAAGGATGGAAGTTCTTTGTGTGGTAAGTTACACATACTAAGTAAGCAGTGGAAACATTCTATTATATTCTTTTCACGCAAATTCTTCTTATATTTTGTTATACTCGTACTAGCTGATAGAAAAGGGAAATGCGTGAAAGTGTACCAAGCTGGTCTTGGCTGTTTTTGTAATCTAATTAAAAACTCGTATTAACACATGATACTTATATATATTGTATTTTATTTGAATTTATGTTTATTTAAATTAACAGAAAATCAAGCCCACATTATTTTGTATATGTATTTCTCCCTTTTTGTGTTTTGTGCACAAGGCCAGCAGCATTAGTTGAATTTAATTGGGTCACCAAATTTTAGCAGCTGTTTCAACTAAAAACTCATTTCATTGTTAAAATGGTTTTAAGCAATTTATTCACAAAAACTGTGCTATTATATACTTATTAAATGCTTTTTCCATTTTGTACAAATATGATGTGTACATGTGTATATTTAATTAAATGCTATTATTTATAGAATATAGGCTTCAAATACAATAAATTTTTGTATACATATTTTATTAGTTAAAAAGAAAAAAAAATGTTTTAAGAAAAAATAAAATAAATTCAAGTATTTTTATAAAACATTTACAACCACTATCTAAGAGATTCAC